CGCTCCTGAGGGCGGCCGCGCGCTCCTGAGGGCGGCCGCGCGCTCCTGAGGGCGGCCGCGCGCTCCTGAGGGCGGCCGCGCGCTCCTGAGGGCGGCGCGCTGGGGTTCAGCGCTGCTGGTTCCAGCCCCCGGCGTCTCCCCTCAGTTCCCGCATGGCTTTGCTGCTTTTCGGGTCAGTCAGAAGGGATTTTTTTTCTTCTGCTGTGCGAGGGCAGGGTGTGGGTTTTCTTTCCGAGGAAAGATGCCACAGAACCGCTCTGCTTCTGTCTCGAATCCAAGGGAATGATGTTCCTCGGCGGCGACAGAGAGCGGGGAGTTCTGTGTTGCCATTTAAAAGTTGGGTATGAACCGCTCGTTTTTTGAGAGATCGGGGTGTAACTGATCCAAAAAACCGTTTTTTCCTCAAGGAAATCTGTGTGTGCTACTCTGAAGTGAAAAGYTGTGGTGACACCAACACAGTCATTGTAGCCAAGTCAGCTTTGTCCGTTACTGGAGGTTTCATAGAATCACAAWAAGTTAATAATGTAAACCCAACTTCTTCATGTCATTCTTTTATTTGGAAAATGTAGGCCCCCTAAAAATGAGGCAATATGTTCTCTAGGCTTTTCAGTCCCTTTAGGGATTGATTCCTTCTGAGAAAAAAAAAAAAAAAAGGATGCCATTCTGAAGCATGCAGGAAATTATTTTCTCAGAATCAAAGAGCAGCTTGTGCCTTTTACTATGAGACATTTTCTGTACCTAATGTGAYATACAATTATGGAATAGTTTGGATGGGAAGGGACCTTAAGGACCACAGTGTTCCAACCTCCCTTCCATGGGCAGGGATWCCTTGCATTGGGCCACYTCACTTCTGCTCCCCCACCTCATGCTCAGCTTCTTCCCACAGTGATCGTGCTCTGGTACAACTTTCCAAACTCAATTATCTCCAACTGAATAATTTAAAGCCTAGTTTGAATTTAATTTCATTCTATCCCACTGGGAGAACTACAGAGARAGATGGCTAAACAAGCAAGAGTTCTGAGAAATCCATTTGGCTTCTGAGCTGATGAGTGGTGTGGTATTGACAATAGACTTCTCCAAACGTGGGGATGCCAGCAGGAATCTGCATTATAAAACAACTGAAATTATAGAGGAGTTTAAGGATAATTTTTATATTTGAGGAAACTTTATGAAAACCAGCATTTATGTTGGATGGGTTTCTGAACTTTTAAAAGTGCAGTCTGTATCAGTTATCTTGCCAATTGCCAGTAGGTGCTGAAAATTATTTCCTTTTGGGCTCAACAACTGTAATAGTGCCTTTTGCACTGTTTAGCCAATATAATCATGAAGTTCTCTGCTATAGACAGGGGCAAGGTGATGGATCTGGGYAAAATTTTCAGTGAGATTGCCTGAAATTTTGTTTTACTATTGTTCCCTTGGTCCTGACCTGACTTTTCAAGTTAGGGAAGCTCTCATCCCATACTCTAACCTATTTAGACACAAGAARCAAGTTTTTGTGAATTAAAAGTATGGCAGAGTTTTGATTAAGWCAGATATTCATGGAAGTCTCAAGTTTTTATTCATAGTACAGGTTGGTGGCCTATAAAAGTTCAGCCTTCAAGTATTTCCCTTGTGATTACTTTTTCTGAATGAAACATAGAAGGATTTTCCCTGAGTTACACAATGTTAGGCCTTTTCCTGATGGCAGTGGCTCTGACTGGGGGCCCTGATCTTCCAAACACTGCTTGTCTCATGTTCCCCAATTCTGCAAACGTTCAAGCATGGAGCAGCCCAGGTATCCTTCCAGCAGCTCTGCAGCAGCCAACGCTGTTTTGCAGAATTGGATTCTGCCCTTGTAAACAATGCTTAGCAGCCAACAAAGTGTAAAACTGAGGAGAAGGTAAAGGAAAGGCTAAAGGCATGCAGACACCACAAGAAATGTATGGATTTGCCACGTAGGCTCAGCTTGCAGACTCAGGGTGTGACTCTGTGATGTTTGGCAGCCTTCCATTTTCAACAGATGGCCGAGCATCCTGCATGTCCCCACAAAATCAAGTTGTGCACACTTCTGTTTAATATTTTTCTCTATGCAGACACTTAAAATATTCTCTGATGAGAAACTCTTCGTTTTTACTAATTCTGTTTAATTTTCWTTGGACTGCAGCCCAAAGCTATTTCATGACCAGAATTCTTTTGATTTTCTGTAGACAGGGATGGAGAGCATCCCTTCAAGCAGAAGAAAACCATAAAACTTGAAGGATCACAATACCTAGGACATCTCCATTGACACATCAGAGCTTTCTGTGACAGAAGGACAAGAATCTGTGCCGTAAGGAATGGGAGAGGGAAAAACACTTAACTGTTCCATGGCTGTGATAGAGACAATGACCATCTGTGTAAGTAGTGTCACATTTCCAGCTTTTGTGACAAAATTCTATCTGGCCTTTTCCTTTCTTAATGGAGAGGCATTGCCTTGCTGAACCTGTGTCTATCCACAAATGGATGTTTAYGTAGAAATAACCACATTTTCAATTCTCTGTGCTTCAAAATAAGATACTGAAATATGAAACTGGAAGAAAGAGGCTTATATAGTGGCACAGTATTTTAAATGACTGTTTTATTTCTCTCCACACATGCTAGCTATAAATAAAACAAAAGTCTCTGAAAAATCTGCCCTAAAGCTTTAAATTGGAGAAATATTGGATCTTTGTGTATCCACAGTAGTCCAACTAACTTGGTAGACCCTGGCCTGGCTCCCAGACCAAAGCTCCTGGGGCTCTCTGGCAATAACACAAAGCCATAAACACCAGATGCAGTATATCTATTGAAATGAAATATCAGCAGTTTTGCACAACTGGCATTTCAGAAATGCAGAGTTCATTTAAATGGTTCCAGTGGTTTGCCKTTGCACCTGAGTCACAATTGCTGTTTTTCTGAATGTGTTGGTGTGGAATCTCACAAAAGCTGTTTTTCCCTGGCGTGCCTGTTTGGAAAATGTCCCTTCATGTGTATAAAAAAACAGAAATCACTCTGCTCCTTGCTTGCTCCCTAATACCTGCAAGGTATCCTAGCATAAATGCTGGAAAAGATGTGAAAARTGCTGCTGAGCCAAGGTATGTGCARGCAGGCAGAGCACAGGCTTGCTTACTCCTTGTGTCCTCAGAATGAAGTGGCAGATTGGGAATTTTAACAAATTACAGATGCCATGGAGACTCTAATGTGTGTGATTGAAAGGATCATGTTATTAGCTGTGTCAGTGTCTGCCAGAATAATTTCACAGCTGTGCTTCTGGCTTGTGATAGCCCAGGACAGTCTTTTCTCTGTGTCACTTGTGCATGAGATTTTGGTTTTCATTTCACACTTATGGGGTATTTGTGTCTGGTAAAAATTATTGTGGCTGATGAGACTTAGCCCAGGCTCTCATGTCAGGTGTTATCAAGTACACATTGCTGCAGTGATTCTGTGCATTAAATATATCTTGGCTATTTTAGTCTTAAACATAAAGACAGAAGGAACAAAAAAAAAATAAAAAGAAGAAGAAAGGGCTGTTACTTGCTCCTGCAGATTGAATTTCTTCTTGCTGTAACTGGCATTTAGTTAGAGCCACTCCCTAGCTTGCTTTGTTGATTTGTAGTTTTGTCAAGCATGCTGGGAAAGTCTGAAAGCTGGCATGGCTATTAAACAAGTTTTACTGTGTTGTAAAAGCATTCAGGATTTTTGTGGTACGTGAGGAGGTTGCTGAGCGTGGATGGATTTTGAGCTAGGTTCTCACTAAAAGTCCTTGATGGGGCTTCAGCCTTGGTCTCATCTTTGCACAGATAAGCAAGCTGATCTTTCAGGCAGCAATTTTAACTGCCTAAAAATTAGAGAGGCTTCACCCCTATGGTGGCCTCCCTCAGAAGGCTGTTCATGGGAAAGAGCAAGTGCTTATTGAATGTGTCTGTCCTTCTCTACTGATTGCTGATCAAGTCTCATTGTTTTGCTAAATCAAGGTGCACAAGTTTTAAAATGTGGCTCTTTACAGAGATCTAAGTTCTCCCAGGTGTTGTTTTGTGGGTTTGAGCTCCTCCAGGTGRTCAGGSTATTTGTGYTYMCTGGGGACCACACCAGATACTTCAYTTCTGAATAATTCTTGCAGAAAGCTTCCTGGAACGTGGTCGCTGGCAGTTCCAGTGCTTTCTCCTTTTATTGCAGAACCTAAAGATGGCACAGTATTTAAAAACTGACCTCCAAGGTGGCATGCATTAGCTGGGCAAAGGCAGGATTGATTTTGCTGTTGCACACTGATTGATTTGCTATTGCTGGCAGGTCCCTGTAATAGCTGCTTTGTACATCCTTTGCAATTTGCTTGAGCCTGAACCCTGAGTGAGTGATGGAGGATAACATTGGTAATTTGATCATTTAGGGAAAAAAAGCCATAAGGCAGAGAGGGCTGTTGTTTTGTTTAGAAACACATTTCAGGGTGAAGGCTTTTAGTCTTTAGTTCCTGTTTGGTTACATAAATGCCTAAATTCACAAGTGTGAGTATGTCACAGCTTCTGGGGAATTTAAAAGGGAGTGGCAGCAGCACCCTAAATTGAGGTTAGATATTYGGGTTCTTTGATATGCATTTGGATGTCTAAATTTGGTTTTTTTAAACAAGAAGAACCTCTCTCTCGCCTTGAAGCTTTGCTCACTGCAAAGGTGAATATGAATATGGGTGTTGTATTCTCAGGTCAGCACCACTGTGTTTCCTTTGTCCCTTCTTCATACCTGGGCCAGCACTTCATCCTTGTGAGAATGACAGATTGTGAGAATGACTGGAAATTCCACAAATCTCACTGCCTAAGATTRAGGCATAGCAGCAGAGTTCTGGTTCAGGGCCTTTAGCTTCCACCAACGTGGGTTATGCTTTTGGGGATGTTTGTGCAACACCTCTGTAACCTACAATATCTCCCTGTTGCAATGTGGGTATGGCTCCGTATTTACTTCTCTTCCATGATCTGTTGTCTTGAACCTCTTTGCTGTGTTTCCAGACAAAACAAACTTGGCTCAAGTTCTCATCAAGGACTAAAAAGATTCAGTGTAGTGACTCTCAGAAGTTCCCAAGAGTGCTTAATTCTTCTTTTTATTGCATTTTCAATTGTTTAAGGCAGGGCCTTCTTGTTTGTGGATAGGTGTTGGCTATTTGTGCCATGTACCTTAGTCTCAGTTATTGTCATGGTACAAATTACCATTCTGAGCTCCCCAGTCTGCTGTCTTTGAAATGTAAGATTTCTATTTGTCTTCTGAAGATGGGGTTCCATGTAGAACCAGAATCTGTAAAGTGTTGCTTAAGACTGGAGAAAGTCTAAAGGAATTCTTACTAGAAACATGTTGCTTAAAATCAAAGAATTCTGCATRCTGAATTGTTCCCATTCATAGTCGAGATGGGACTGAAAGATCACATCCAGCTTGCATGCTGAAATGCTTTATTACAGAACTCAATTAAGAGCAAATTTCCCCCTCAGACTCTGTCTACAAGGTCATGCCTGCCTTTGTGAAATATTGAATCTGCAGCTGCAGGATTTATTACAACAGTATTTTAAAACACACRATGCTGGTGCAGCGGCTCTAATTAGAAATGCCCTGAGCTCTCTGTGCAGGCAAAGTGCTGTTTCTGARCTGCAGCATCCACATCAAGAGGCAAGTTTATGCATGTTGGAAGGACAAACAGAGAGACCTGTGGGAAAAAAAAAACTGGAGTCTGCTGAGAAGTGCTGCTATGCTGGGATTTCTTACTTCTTTAATTTGAATTAGCTCAGTTTGAGCCAGATTTTTGCCTGTGTAGCCTTACTGAGTCACAGCAGTTCAGTGGAAAGGGAAGAGTGGGGCTAAAGCCTTCAGCTGCGGCTTTGTGTGGCCAATTAAGTACTTTGCCATCATGGTCAGTAATTAAAATGGAAGGTGGATTGATGATAGTTCTTATCACAGTAAGTCTCCCCTGCTTTCCTTGAGAGGAAATCTAGCAGGCAGAGACAGGRAAAGATTTGGGAGATGAATATGCAAGGGGAGTTCTGCTGGACACTGCAAATTGCCCTCTGCAGSCTGTGTTGATCACACCTAAAGAACATCTCCTTCCCTTGGATATGAACCATGGCAGCTCACTGCAGGAGGGCTCAGGATTGGCATTCTCTCCTGCTGGGATAATTAGGAATTTACCAAAGCACAGCAACAGACGCTGTGAGAGATGCGAGTGTGATTAACTCCATAAATACGTATTATGAAATCATGGRCAGTGTTCTAACTGTAATGAATTTTCCCTGAGGGAAAATATGCCTGAGTAAAGAAATCAGAAAGAACTTGATGCCAAATGCAGAATGGAAGGGAATTACTATAAGGCTGGAGTCTATCCATATTTTTTTCTCTGTAGTATTTTCCTTTGAAGATTTAGATGAGGARTTACTTCTCTTCATTTCATTACCCTCTAATCTCCAAAATCTSTATCACTTTCCTAAAACACACCAGCATGTATAGCATTCCCTGGGAGCCTTCTTACTGCTTTATAGTCACTGCAGGTGAATTTGTTTATAAAAAGGCAAGCACCTACTTGAGACAGCATGAGTGTAAGTCAGTATTTGCTTCTGTGCTGAAAGTGGATTTCTGAGCGTGCTATAATATAAAGGAGATGATTTTTTTTCTATGAAACTGAGAGACCAAAGAACTCTGCAGATGAATTCAAGCAGTCTTCATAAAGACTGCTTATAATATAGTCTCACTTGTCAGACATGGAGGGCCTTTGGCAGCACATCTGGGTTAGCTGCTTGAGTTTGCAGATTAGTCTTAAAGCTGCTGGTATTTTCATGGTGTTCAGCCTTGGATTCCTAGTGTAAGAGCCACTAAAAARTTTCCTGGACAGTCCCTTCTCATCAGTGTGTCCTGGCAGAAGGTGATGTGTTGAGTTATTCCTGCATTCYGAGGACCCTTGCCTRCAAGAGCATCTGTTGGCAGCAGATRYAGCACAGWGGAGCTCAGAATTGCCCCGGTGTGAAATCAGGTTAGAGGAGCACAGAGCTGTCTTAAAACTGCCTTRTGCCAGGAGTGGGTTCTGGTGGCCTCAGAGCCTGGACTGACTTTATTTGAGTTATCATGTCCCAAAATCCCACTCTGGCAAAGGGTGGAGTCAGTCAACTGAAAAACCTGTCCTTCTGTTATTTCCATTCTGATCTCAAAGTTTCTTTACTATTCCACAGTGAGCTTCACTGGTAAATATCTTAGAGCAGTTTTTTTAATGTGTGCCTTCCACAAGCAGAGGGAAGGAGCAGTGCCAAGTTCAGCCAAGCTTCAGAATGCCAGATTATCAGTGAGAGAAAGCTCATCAGCCACACTTTTCAGTGCAGTGGGTAAAAAGCTGTAATTCTTTGGGGCTGGCTTGGCTCTGCTAAGAGTAGACAGATGGGGTAGACAAAAAGCCCTGTTTTCAGTCCTGTGTGCACTCAGGGTCCTGACAGCACTAGGCACTCTGCTGAAGTGGATTAAAGATAGAGTTTGGGTTTGTTGGATAAGGAAGAGCTTTAACTTTGCAAAAGAAACAAACCATATCACTTCACTAAACCCTTCTGCAGTGAGCTTCATAAGGCCTGATGGCATGAGAGTTTGTTTCTTGTCCAGTCTTAATTTGACTGGGTTCAGCACRTCCTTAAGAGCTCTGCTGAGTCCAGGCTGAAAAATAACTTTTCATGTGGGAATGCTGTGGAAAGGATAATGATCACAGGAGTCTGGGTGGCAGCAAAGGCTTCAGTCAGACTGCTCCCTTTRGGCCTCAGTTCACATTGCTTTGACATTAATAAGATGTCGAGATGTAGACTTTAGTTGAAGTGGAATTTTTCATCAGATTTCTTTATCTTGGGTTTTGTCCCTTTTGCCTACATGTGTCTTTCTAGTCTCAAATACTTCAGAGAATTTAAAAATCCTTTTCTAACTGCCCCTGAATTTTCAGTCATGACTTTCATCAGATTTAAATGCTATTTGATTTTTAAGTGTTGGCTGATATTTGGGCTGATTAATTTCACATACTGGTTTCTGGAAACTGCARTGCTCCACTTCACAGGCAAATACTGCCCCAGAATATGGAATATGGCAAGTGATCCAGCTGCTTTGGGGCTCCCAAGTAGAGATGCATTAAAAAGAGCAGGCTTTTCAGCATGCTTCTACCTTTTGACATGTCTCTACAGCTATTAAATTGATAAATACAGTTTCTCACATAGTTTGTACAGCTGAGAGTTTGTGACATRCTAGGATGTCTCTAAAAGTCCTGATTGATACATGTATATCTAACATCTGTATGATATCTCTGKTTTTTTTCCCCAGGTGTCTCTCAGAAGGTGCCTTAACATGTCTCTGTTGTACTCAAAACCAAATTAGGAGCAATTGTTTGTTCTGAGCTAAAATCCCAATCCTGCAGAGAGCAAGAGAAGTTTGGTTGGTGGSAGTCAGGTATTTGGTTTGCTTCTTTCAATTGTTATCTGCAACATKCTTCTCATTTTGTTTTTTGGATACATCACTGAGCTTCCTCAGTAAGAGGCTGTAATTTATCCAGCTGGAGCCTGGCCAAGCCTCTGATCACCAGCTGTGGTTGCTATTTCTGTCTATTCTTCATCACTTCAGACACTAATAGTCAGTGAGCCCCATGGATCCACAGGGTGCTCACTCTCATAATTTAGTGGTGAGTGTGCAATCTGTGTCTTCCACACACAGGATTGTTYTGGGATTGGCATTTTGTGCAGTAAAGAGGGCATGAATTGAAAACTTCTTCCTGAAATGGAAGTGCATACACAGCCTAGGTGGCTTTTCAACTCGGTCCAACAAAACAGAGTTTATGTCCTGGCTGATAATTTTAGAAGATATTATTCAAAAATATTGTTTGTTTTAGATAGCAAACTCTGCAGCTCTTTATTCTTACCACTCTAGAACTGGGTATAGATGGAGGGTTGTTGATTTGTGCAGCTGAATATTTCATTGCCAGAGTTCAAAGGCTCTTCCAGAATCATCTGGCCAGTATCAAAACTAGATTTCTCCACTAAAAATTCAGAGTAACTTCACTGACTTAAAAGAAAAAAAATTGCAACTGCAGCTGGCCTGAGGGGTTTTCATTTCAGTCTCCATAACTTTTCTCAGATGTTTTTCTTAGGCTGGGTGTTTTAGAATTGTTAGGCTCATCCCACAATGATCTTGGCCTTGTTGGGTCCCTCTGCAGTAACAGGTGTTTGAAGATGGATTCCATATTCCTTTCAGGAGCTCAGTTWCTTTGTTGGCTGGTGCATTTAGAAAGCTGCTGTCAGTCTGGCTGATTCAATTCCATCTTGATTTTTTCCRGTGCTGCTCTTATTACTTTATTCCTGCATGTCAGGTGGTGTCTCAGCATAGACAGTGACCTATATAATAGCTATTTTTTTCTGCCTTTTTCTAACCCCAGTCATACTCCAGTGTGAATACTGATTGCAAAGACRTTGTTTGGCTTGGTTGTAACCTCCCTGTTTGATTGCTTCCTCTGCTTACTTGGTCCATCAGAGACCTACTGTTTCTCTAGACATCTCCCTCCTGCTGCACTTCAGGCATTTTATTTTATTTCTTCAATTTACAGTCTTGGATGTTTTCTTTATTGTATGTTTTTAATTTTTCCCGTCAAAGTCCATTCCATCTGTTAAAGGCAGGTGAGCTGGATTTATGGAGGTTGAAATATTGTTTTGACCCTAGAACTCACCCTCTGCCACACCATTAGAAATTACTGCAACTTCTCTGTGTCTTTACTTTAAAGATCCCATTGAACTCAGGCAGACATGCGTGGCACTTTTCTAGCAGGAGAATATTTATTTAATCCCTGTATAGAGAAGCAGAGAGCAAAATCCTAAATCCATTCAAAGCACTGGGGCTTTTCCTGAGCTCCAGCTGAGTCGTGGCTTAATGATCAGGTTTGTGGTCTGTAGTCAGCCTTGCAGCAAGAGGAGAGAGAAAGCACAAAGCAAGATTTTCACTCCTATTCTGGCTGAGCTGAGGGACAGTGTGCTACAGCAAGAGGTGAGAGACTTGAAGGAACAAGTTTTCTCATGGCGCTGGCACCAACCTCCTAAAAGATACTTTAAAATTTATAATCTCACATTTTGGGTGCAAAATAAGGAAGTTTCTTGGCAGCACAGCACAGTTTGAAAGCACGGTTTTGCTGGAGTGTTGCAGTTGTGTCCGAGGTTCTGGAGCTCAGTCCACAGAGGAGCAGACCAGTCTAAGCTGTGTTTATTCAGGTGCTTTAATGTGCTGCCTGAGGGGGACCCTGATTTATTCCCTGCGAATTGTGATGCTGTGTCCCACTGGAAGTTCTCTGGTTTGATGACAAGCCCAGCTCCTTCTCCCAGCAGAGAAGTTTGCTGGAATAAGATGGGTTTAAAATGCTTCTCCCTCTCGCTGTCCCTCACTGAAAAGCAGCTTGAGCAGTGGAAACTGTCGGGAGCGCTTATTCAAAGGAGCAATGTTGGGAGCTGAAGATAAGAGCATTTATCTGCATGTCATAACTGCTCAGTGTCTGCACTGGACTCCCAACATGCCAGTAACAAGGAGCTTAGGCTGGAGATGCTGCTGGAATTCCAGGAGTCCAGGGGGTGGTGTTTATCCCACCGACACAAGGCACACATCAAATCAATGACACGGTGCGAGCGGATTTCCCCGTCACCAGCCAGTGTTGTGAGCTCGGAGGAAATATGTTCTCCTGGGCACTAGGGGAGATCCTCCCTCTGGATGCTGATTGAATTTGAAATGTATATTAGAGGAGAGAGAGAGACAAAGAGGGAGAGGAATGTATGTTCTGCAGCAAATTGCCACATCGATCTTGTCACTTGGCAGACACAGTTGGACCTGAGGCTGTGAGTCTGTGGGATGTGCTGTATTTCTGTCATGAACTGTCAGCCTCAGAGGTGCACAGGAGAAAGAGAGGCATGGTGTCAGAGTGGAAAACCAGTGATGAAGGGACTGGCAAGCTGTTCAACAGCAAATCAGAGCAGTTGCGTTTTTGGACTGTGCTTGCCTTCCACAGCTGGAAATGTGCTTTGTCCTTGTCTCTGGTGAAGCAGTGATGGGAAGAGGTGAGACATAAGAGAAGGGCTGCTGTGTCTGTGGAGGCTGCTGTTCCTCATGGCTGGTGGCACCTGCAGCTGCCAGAGGAACCCTCAGCCTGCCCTCATCCCACTGCCCTCCCTGGAGCCATCCCTGGGACTGCTCCTTCACGCGGGGTTTTCCTCTGATGGCAAATTTGGGAGCTGACGGGATTACACTTAGGTTCTGCAGGGAGCTAATCCTGGAATCAGAACCTTTCCTGAAATAGCTCTGTCCATCAGCAATGTGSTTTAAAACCCTGGGTTTGTTTAAATGACTGCCCTGGAGGGACTGTGCTGCTGCTGGGGGCCACAGGTAGGTAGCTCCAGCAGCATCCACAGGAAGGTTCAGTCCAACCTGAACAAATTTGAATGTTGGCAAACTCATCCGAATGAGCAACAATCCTTGGGCATCCCTCTGCCTGGGTGTTTGTACTCTCTGGAATGATGTCAGTGCCTTGGGATGCTCRTGTTTCTCCCAAGCAGAACCAAAACACTAGAGAGCGCCATGGATTTGCAGATTTTGGCTTGTGAAGTGCAGTCRGAGGCTGTGAGTGCTCCCTGAGGGGAAGGATGTAGAGGGAGCTGTGCTCCGGATCCAGCCCGTGCTCGCTGCTCAGGAAAGCTTGGGTATGGAGAGGTGGTTTCCCTCTGGATGTGGGAGCTGCAGGTGCAGACCAGGATGAAATGTCTCCGAAGATGCCCATGAGGAGCTTCCCAGGAGAACTTTTTTAGTTTTCGAGCTCACACTTTCCAGTCCTTGTGAAGAAAACTTAATTKTCAAGTATTTCAACCCATAAACAATGTTTTATTATATTTGACTGGCTATTTTTTCAAAAGCAGGCTAGATCAGATTGTTTTGCTGTCTCTTCTTCCCACCCATGCAAAAGGCATTGACTCCATGAGGGCTTCACGTGGGCTCTGCTCTCTTCCTCCTCGTGGGAAGGTGAGAGGCTCATGACCATTTCAGCAGTGCTGGAGAACAGCTGCCCTTGCTGTTAGAGCATTCACTGTCCTGTAGCTTCTCCCGTCACCCAAGGCCACCTGCAKCTCCCTGACTTGGTGGGGAGGCAGAATCCATGGAATCATGCTCCTCTTAATCACTGATCATGTGATGCTGATGAGTAAAGCTTCGTTAACGAGCTGTCCTTTTTTTTTCATTGCCCTGCAGAAAATCAGTTTTCACTGAGACCTGGCTTATCATTCAGAAGATACCCATCTCCATGTATTCAGAAGTACTTTTTCACATAAAAACTTGAAATTTTTTAAAGTTTTTTAAGAGAAGTGATCTGTAGATATTTTGTGATTTTAAGTTCTCTATTTTTCTCCTTCTTTTCTTATGTAACTTGATCTAAAAGGCTAAACGAACTCTTGCCATTATTTTTCCTCTCTCATATTTGTGATTGTTTTGTGGATGTTTTATTAACTTGACATTTCTGAAAATATTTCATGTTGTGAGAGCTCAAAAATAATAAAAGTGAAAGGAAATGGCAGAAAAGGAAAAGAGGTGGTGGTAAAAAGATGTTTAGGAGGATACGTTTTTATTGAATTTGCTAGCAGGAGGAAAAAGATGAGGGAATGCATTTTTTCCCCCTTCATCAAAATTCTTAGTGATGTAGATGTTTAGAAGTTTAATTGAGTAAAAAATCAGGTTTTGGCACATCTGAATGGATACCATTTATCCTGTCCTGCTTTGACCTTTCTCCATTCTCCTTGGTGTTACTGCTCACCCTCTCTGCCCCTTAGGCTGTGTCAGAAGCATCTGGAAACAGCAGATAAGGAGGAGGAGCCTTGGGGCAGAGCACCTTGGGAGCAGTGCTGGAGGGCAGGAGGCATCTGTGTGCTTGGGGGGAACCCCATGGRTGTGCAGAGCTCCTGTCCAGGGRAAAAAAAAAMCAGGAGGGAGCTTTTCCCTGCTGTGCTTTGAGATCTGCTTCTCTTCCCTCCATGGAAAGRAGATATCATCCATCCAGGCTGGTATTTCCAAGCACAACGGTGTGCCTGGCAGCAGGCAGAGGATTACTGGCTGCAGAAATAACTTTTCAGGAAGTGCCTTTCTGAGATTTTATCTTTTTGTYCGGAGAATGTTGGATCTATGGAAATCCCTGAGCACAGGGAGGAAAACAACCCTGGACACTCGGCACTTGAAAGGAAGAAAAATGAACACTAAGTTAGAAAAATGGGGCAAAGCACCCAGAAATACATCAGAGTTCAGTGGAGGTGTTGGAAGCAGATAATAGGAAAGATCTRGAAGGTTTTGTGACGGGAATATAGCCAAGCTGCAAATATGCTATAAATGTCTCAGGGWCTAAGGCACACAGGATATAAACCTTCTGAAAAAGAACAGATTTCATT